ACCATGAGTCTGTAACAACACAGAGGTCAAACAGGCAACTGTTTGGATACCAGTGAGATAAGCTCTGCTTTAAGTTTGTGAATTGAGCCCAGCTTTGAGCCCAGTGAATTGTGTCTGACAGGGTATTAGTGTGTCATAAATTAGGCTTAAAAGAAGCTGAGCTATTTCTGCATAATGCGGAATCTAAGCTCTATAGTAATTTCACAATTCTAAAGACATTTGTTCTTTAGTTATTGGCTTACACTTTCTAGCTATCACAATTTTCCACTGTTAATGTAGCTTTTTACCTTCTTTTGAAATAACATGGCCTAAATAACAGACTTCTTTCTGCACCTGGTTTTATACTTTTGTTTGCATCCCGGTTTAGCAGATATTGCTTTATCCACGGCCTTCATTGCAACTTAGGAACTATTTTAACTGGATCTACAGTTGTCAACAGTCCTACATCAATTTTTCCTGTAGACCACAAAGCATTTAAATATCTTTTAAATCATTTTCATCAGATTGTGATAGCAAAGAATGCTGAGTTATTTTATCTCATGCTAAATCTGGGACCCAAGCTTCTGCATTAAACAGAATTTTATAAGGCTGTTTCCATAGTTGGAACAGAACAAACTCCCATGTGTTTACATATTTTGCGTAGCCATGATTGTAATTTCTTAATTCAGAAACTGTTTTTCAAACTTTTCATCTGGGGTTAAGCACAAATTCATAGTGGTCTACTCTTCAACTAACAGAGTTTTATTGAAACGCTATTTACATGTTCCACACATTCAGCCTTCATGCCCCCCTGTTTGGGAAAAATTGCTTAATTTTCCCATCAATTCCCATCCTACCAGATTAGTGGTGAGTTGGTGATATTACTACAAAAACATGCAACCTTGCAATCTCTTTCCTAATCCTTTGACATCCACTCCTAAGATGTTTGACCATTTGACCATTTGCTCAAAAACCTATTAACACTCAGATGAAGAACTGCCCCTGTGGACTCTTCCTTCCTAGTCTGCTTTTACTGGTCTGGGCTGAAAGCCCCCTTTGAAGTTCTAGAATCGCCCCTGCATCCTTGATGCCTTTTGAAATTTCACGTTTTTGTTAGCGCAATAATCTCTGCAGTTTACACAGAATATGATGATTTTAAGGCAGCACTGCAAAAGTTTTTTTTTTTTTAAACTCATTTACAATTGTAAAAACAACTAATTTCTTTCTGAAAACTGACACATCCACGTACACGTATTTTATAACCCCTCCTATGTTTCATCTTTTCCCCTGGGTGGTTAGATCTAGCCAACAGCCATGTCTCCCTCCGCCGCGGAGGGAGACATGGCTGTTGTTGAGCTCGCTGTCTGAATGACGGCGCGCACTGATACGAACAGAGAGAAAATAGGACTAATTGATAACGACGTGTGACTTTTTCCACTACAATGTTTTTGGGATGCGAAAATATCGCTCTTTTGAACACATAATGTTTTGGGAAGAGAAACGTTTTATTTCGCTGTTCCTAAAAACCTGCCGGACTACTTTTGGCTTGACCAAAACTGGACGATAACTCTGCTCACAGGACGCTGCCAGGGGTAAGTCAGTGTGATTGCATGACACTGGTGATGGGGATGCCATACAGATTCATGTCAAAAATACCGAACTATCGCTTTAATCTGGATGAACTGGGGTGGCAGCTTGTGAAACTGTCTGTACGTAGCTTACATGACTAAAATAATTTTCTGGAGGGTTATTTATTTTTATTTTTTTTATTAAAACCTAATAGTTTTGGAGACCATGCAGTCGCATTAGGAAGGCTGTCTGCTGGATTAACGCTGCAGCCATTGATCCATAGACATACTCCCCGCTACTGCAAATTCAAGCTCTCTCCCTCTAAACTATGTTTCATTAGCTTTTGGATGCACAAACAACTTAAAAAACCCACAAACATAACTTTAAAGACACATAACATTTAAAGAGGGACAAACACAAAATTAGATCTATTTATTTAGGTTTTCATCGTATCTACTTTGTGCATGTATCATACCTGTCATGAATCGGTGTTTGTAAGGAGGACCCAAACGCAGGCAGAGGTGAATAAAGCCTGTTTATTCTGGTTCACAGAACCAGGGGGAGGAATCAGAGTCCAACAGAAAAACAGCAAACGAACCTGAACCAAGGAGACATCAGGGGTAAATCAAAACTAGAAGCCAGGGAGAGACGAGACAGGGCAGGCAGGTAACAGACAGGAAGCAAGACGGGATGTTTGACGAGGATCCAGCAAACAGGAACTGAACAGGGAGGGCTTTTAAAGGGGACAGAGACAGAGAGAGAGCTGACGAGGAAATTGGCAACAGGTGCTTGGCAGGACAGAGAAACAGGAAGGGAGGACACAAGAGGGCAGCAGAGGCCCACTGCGGCTCTGGAACAGGCTCGGACGGGGCCGCCCACTGCGGCTCAGGAACAGGCTCGGAAGGGGCCGCCCACTGCGGCTCTGGAACAGGCTCAGAGGGAGCCGTCGACTGCGGCTCTGGAACAGGCTCGGACGGGGCCGCCCACTGCGGCTCAGGAACAGGCTCGGAAGGGGCCGCCCACTGCGGCTCTGGAACAGGCTCAGAGGGAGCCGTCGACTGCGGCTCTGGAACAGGCTCGGACGGGGCCGCCCACTGCGGCTCAGGAACAGCCTCCGAAGTGGCCACCCACTTGGCACAGGAACCACCATGGAGGGGGCCTTGAAGGCTTGGGGCGCCCGCTGAGGTGCCTTGGAGGCCTGGAGCGCCCGCTGAGGGGCCTTGGAGGCTTGAAGCGCCCGCTGAGGGGCCTTGGAGGCCTGGAGCGCCCGCTGAGGGGCCTTGGAGGCTTGAAGCGCCCGCTGAGGGGCCTTGGAGGCTTGAAGCGCCCGCTGAGGGGCCTTGGAGGCTTGGAGCCTCCGCCGAGGGGCTCTTGAAGCTGATGGCGGTGGCAGGAACAAAAAAAAAAAAAATCTTCTCTCTCCCCATAAAAAAAGCTCCAAAGGTCATATTCCCGAATATGGGGAGGGCTGAGGAGTTCACATGCCTGGTTCTCTGCTGGGTCCATGTTGTGGCTGGATCCTTCTGTCATGAATCGGTGTTTGTAAGGAGGACCCAAACGCAGAGACCAGTAGGCAGAGGTGAATAAAGCCTGTTTATTCTGGTTCACAGAACCAGGGGGAGGAATCAGAGTCCAGCAGAAAAACAGCAAACGAACCTGAACCAAGGAGACATCAGGGGTAAATCAAAACTAGAAGCCAGGGAGAGACGAGACAGGGCAGGCAGGTAACAGACAGGAAGCAAGACGGGATGTTTGACGAGGATCCAGCAAACAGGAACTGAACAGGGAGGGCTTTTAAAGGGGACAGAGACAGAGAGAGAGCTGACGAGGAAATTGGCAACAGGTGCTTGGCAGGACAGAGAAACAGGAAGGGAGGACACAAGAGGGCAGCAGAGGACAACAAATGGATAACTAAGCAGCAGTGTTGGAGGTTTCCACTTTTCTCACCTGCAGCTGGACTCACTCAGAGGAAGCTGCTAGTTTGGTCTGAAGGTGAATCTGATCGTCTGGGAGTCTCTCTGCAGGAACCAACAATCACAAACTGCTTCCTGCTCCAGTTTAGCTCCAACTAAGGTGTGTTTCATTCCAAAGTCCTGAATTTTACCTTTAGCTGCTAGAAAACTCCCAGATAAACAGGTTTTATTTCTCTCTGCTCAGATCAGAACATAACCTGTAACAAAGACTCCAATAATCTGTCCTCAGTGCTGCAGTCGTTCAGCTCTTACTGAAATTTCTCTTGCAGATGTTCGTTCAGGAATAATCAGCTGACCTCCACAAAGTTCTCCTCTTCCTCCAGACCTGCTGCAACAACAACTCAGTCTTTGGAGCTAAATGTGGTTCTAATGTGATGCTTTTTGTTTCATTGACTTCTTTTTATCGCTTGTTACTAAATATTACAGAATGAAATGTTTTAATCTCATACCGGGTCAGAACAGCATCACTTGTTAATCACTTCTCAGTCAGTGAAGCTGAGATGTTGTTATGAATGGAGCCAAATGGAAATAATCAGTATTGAGACACTGAGAAGTTTCTTAGCTCAGATCTTAGTTCTCCAGTTCTGTCCTTTTCTCTGCAGTTCCATCAGAACCTCATCGTTATGACGACAAAGGACTATTCCATCATGACTGTGCTTTGTTTGGCAGCAGATCCAGGTTTTTCTCCTTCGTCTACATGTAAATCAGGGACAGCCAGCTCCAGTCCTCCATTTGGGTCAATGAGTCAATGCAATCAACTGGTTTACCTTAGATAGAAAACTTTAAATCAATTTGCCTGGATGATCTGGTTGGTGCCTTGAGATGACATGTGTTGTGAATTGGCGCTATAGAAATAAACTGAATTGAATTGAATTCAGGTGTTCAGGAGAAGCAATGCATCTAAAAGCTGCAGGACAGCAGCCTTAGAAAGCCCTGAATCAGAGATTTCTTCTAAAAAGTTTTCAAAGCTCTGCATTTTTTCCACTTTTCAATCTTTTTCAGCCTTTTTCCAAACGCTTTAAATTGATCCCTTCTCTAGATTCTAAACAAAATGGCTCATTATGAAAAAGTAGAAAAGGTTTATTTTTATAATTTTAATAAATGTATTACTCATTAAAAACTAATAAATCATATTTCCATAAATATTCACAGCTTTTAACATAAAGCTCTAAACTCAGCTGAGGTTCAGACTGTCTCCACTGATCATCCTTCCATGTTTCTACAGTTTAGATGGAGTCCAGCTGTGGTGCATTTATCTGACTGGATGTGATTAGGAATATAGACGCCTGTCTATATAATGTCCCACTGCTGACAGGTTCAGGTCAGAGAGCAAAACACCAAGCATGAAGTCAAAGCAGCCTGAAGCTGCAGGACCCATGATCCTGTGGCTTCATGCTGCTGAGGCTCTTGGTTCAGCGCTGTGATTCCTGCAGACTCCTGAAACCTTGGAGTGTGGAAATAAAAACAACAGAAACTCTGTGAGGATATAAGGGCCCAGCAGCTGTCTGCTGATTTCCACTGAAATCTTTTATTTTATAGTTTTGTCTCATCCAAGAGAGGAAAAATAAAGTTCTGATTGAGCCTCCAATGATGGGTCCAGAGTCCAGATCAGACCTTCTGGATCTTCTACCCACTCAATTCAGCGTCTTCAGAAAGGCTCACGGCTCTGATGATCGATTCAATGGCCGCTTCAGGTCCCAGAATCCTCAGCAGGCTCTGAAAGGCCTCAGCAGCAGCGCCTCCTGCAGGCCAGGTGGGGAACAGCTGCAACGCTGCACACAAACAAAAAACCACCAACCTCTAGAAACTGTTTCTGTCATGTGTCTATGTCACACAGTTCTACACATTTAGTGGAAAAAAAGAGTTTTTAAACATTCAGACTTTGACAATGCCCTTCTGGCAAGTGGCTTTCACATTTCCTTTGCCCAGAAACATTTTTACTTGCCCAGTATAATGTTTGATAAATATAGTTCCTAATATTCATTTTTGTATATAGATGAAACATGTTTGTTTTTTAAATGTTTTTTTGTAATTGAGTAAGTTTACAGGTTCCTGGTGCGTATACTGTATGCATGCGTCAGATAATGAACTCACTGCTTGTAAAAATATAAATTGTAATGCAAAAAATAAAAAACAAACTTGACAGGTTAAAAACTTACACCACAACTACTCACCAATTTAACATGGTATAACATTCAAATGCAGCACTCCAATGTCTAAGAGAAAAAAATTTAATGAACATTTACAGTTTAATGTATTTAGATAGAAAGCCTAAATTTAGTCTTTTTTAAGTTGTCACAAAAACTTGTTTCCTCTGAAACAGCAGTTTCAGATACTGGAACCAAACATCTCCATAAAGAATCAGTAAAATTAGGGAAATTATTCATGACATCTGCCTAATTTATCTGCTGCTTTTAAAAACACAATTATTTTTCATTAAAACAACAAACTTCTATAATCCTGATTTTAAGCCTTCAGTTCAAAACTGACTGAACAGAAACAATCAAACTGTCTAATCTGAGAACAGCTGGTTTAGCTGCTGACCTCTGTGCTCTGAGCCAATCAGATTAGATCTAATAATCCAGGATTATTAGAGGCTGTATGACAACAGGGCCCAATGATCTCTATTTATTCATTGGATTCCTGATAGCCTGAAAAAAGTGAAGCCACCGGCTGCCATATTGGTACTCCCCATTCCCATTGAGATGCACAGTAAAATGCCTACCTGTGTAGCATTTGGCTTCAAAAACAAGTGATTTGCTGTTGGTAGACAATTCTCCGGTAATTTCACAGTCAGTGGATGAACTAACCAAGAAAATCTATAAATACACTGATGTATCTTATAGTATGGTATGTAGATTAACATTATTCTGGCTATCTTTGATTGACTCGAAGATATCGACTGAGTTAGCCATCGACATTGGGTCTAACGTTAGAAAATAGAAAGTAATTCACTGTGAAATGTCAATGTACTAATTCTGAATTAAGTGGACCACGCTGTTGTTTTTGTAGTGTTTGTTGTATTTCTCATTTGAAAAAGCAACATTTTTAAAGGCTAATGCACAGACACAGCATAAAAGTACATGCCGTCATTCTTGCATAATTTGTAAATAGGAAAATACCATAGTATTAACAGACATGCAATTCAGTCTTTATGTGAAATCTTGAAATTATCCCTCACAGGCTCAAATTTAGTTGTAGTTGCAGAAAAAATCTGATATTTAGAGAAAATGATCATATTGGGGAAGTAATATACAATTCAGACTTTTTTTTGAGAGAGAGACCTTCACATGCAATGAATTCTGGGATGTTGCAGATTTACAACAGTGGCCCGTAGTGGTAAATTAACACTGAAGACTGAATCTGATATGAACGTTAACTTAATTTGAATGTCACAAAAAAACATTTCCCAAAACAAAATTCTCACAAAATTAGAGACAACTTTTTCTCAAACTTTTTCTCCACCGACATCTTAAAACCTCTTGAGAAGGCCGTTTCTGTTAAACTGTTGCTCGGAATATAGGCAAACTAGTAGATAAAGCATGTAGCATCCATTGGTTCCTGTTTGGGCACACATTGCTAATCCACAACATTGAAATCGAGATGCCTTTGGTGAAAACCCCAGAGGAGATAAAATCTACTAATTGGCATGTGTCATATCTATACACATTCATGATTCATCTTATGTAGTATTGATTTCAAAAGAATGGAAATTGGTAGTGAGACTTACTTGGAATTCGTGCTTAGAAAATCTATTTCAGTGACACCAAGGACTTAGTCATGTATAAAGATAGTCAGCAGTGCTATCTGCTGGCTGGAGAGAAACTGTTTGTTGCAAATGCACAACTAAGTCCTTTTGTTGTACTTCTGAGTAACAAAAGCTCTTAAACTATGGGTGTGGAGTAATTAGCTAAGTGGCATTTAGCTGTTGCAAATCTGCAACATCTGCCTGGAGAGGGATATATGTAACATGTAATTAACATAACAATGTAATCAATAAATGTTTATTAAATGTATATCATCAATTTAGCACTTTTGGCACATCTGTATTATTATGCTCCATTAACACACCAATGTTGTTGTGATGGATTTGTGTAATATGTTATATTACATGATTTATAGACTTTATTGAATTCATAATGACTATGCAATGTGATGGGCCTATTTTTTTATCATAAAATTACTATAATCTATTTAGGCTATGAAACTTCTTTTTTAAAGCCTTAAGCCCCTGAAAATGAGAAAATCATTTGTTCGATGCTGTAGCACACATATTGTTTACTTTGAGACTGGTTGTTAGGATTATTCAAAGATGATTATAAAATTAATGTGTGCTTATGAAACATTTTTGCAAGGGGATGCTCCACTCCTGTCTCATGATTCAGTCAGGAGACCATCCTGCCTTGTCATTCTGATGGAGCATTCTGTCTTCATGAACTGATCAATTGTTCTGTCAGAACAACACTCTGTTTGTAACCATGCGTCATGTTCTGTTAATAAACACTCTGCGGAGGAGGTCCAGTGGGAGACAGTATGTTTGAGCCTGGGGTTCAACTGTCTCTCCTTCCTACAGGAATTGTATCGATAAATCTGTATTTCAGTTCTTCTTAAGAAAAAACCTATTTATGAACCCGACACTGGTCTAACTAAGGAGTACCAATATGGCGGCCGGTGGCTTCACTACACCCCGTACTACCAACGGGCAATCAGCAATCCAATGAATAAATAGAGATCAGTGGCAGGACCTCAGGCACAGTTTATCCCTCAGAGGGACATCTCACCTCTCTCTGGGATCTTTGGCAGCAGGTGGATGTTTGGAATAACAGCGCCCCCTGTGGAGACCTCCAGGGACCAATAAATGAAGAAACTGCAGCTGCAACCAGAAACAGAGACAAGTTCAGAGCCTGATCTGTTCAGGTTCTGGAGGCAGTTTTCTTTAAGGCTGAGAGGATTTTACCCTGGAAGCTCAGGATGATTCAGGACCATGACCTCTGAGCCGCAGCCTTCAGGAAGAAACACGATGGAGGGAAACTTCTCCTGCAGAAGGAAAAACAGATCGGATCACTGAATGTTTCAGGATAAATCATCAGGAAACAGGAAGAAGCTTCATTTGGATCCAGATAATTGATGCTGAGAGCAGAAACAGAAAAGATCAACCGACTGATGGTTCATATTTGATCATTTAAATCTGTAGAATTACTGGTTCTGATCTCCTTTACAGTCAGAGACACTGGATCATCCTCAGAGGAAGGAAATAAGACAAACCAGTTCTGACCTAGTTAAACAAACTGGAACTGATTTTAGCAGAAATGAACCCAGATGTTGAGAACATCTGGAACCACGGATCTCATGTCTGTGGTTCCATCCTAGACTGACCCAGACTGATGGAGACTTGTTCCACCCAGTCCAGGTCTCCACCATGTTGCCAGATCTTCAGGACCATTTCCAGCAGCTGTGGGTCGACCTGTGACTGAGTCACTCAGTGTTTTCAGGCCTGAAGGGGGCGCCACACACTGCAGCTATGGAGCCATAAGTGTCAGTCCTCCATCTGATCAGATTGTCATCATTTATTCAGGAGGTTCTTAGATCTATTGGACCTCCAGGTTTCAGCAAACAGCATAAGGTTGGTTCTGATCACATGAGGACTTTAAAGTCTCAGTGAAGATCATGATTTATTGTGAGTTTCATTAAATCCTCCATCATCATTATATTTCTGATTATTTTTGTTCAGTGATCCGTTTGGACCTGCAGAACCTCTGACCTGATTGTGACCTCCCCTTCAGTTTATTTTCTGCTCTTAAATCGGCTCAGATTCCCTGCAGCAGGTTGGCAGCGTTTTCTCCAAGGCAGGAAGACACATGTTGGACCTGTCTCCCCCTTCCTCCTCCTCTTCCTCACCACTCTGCTCTACACATCGGTTCTAAAACAGAAACACAAACTCAGTGTCATCGCGCAGCGACACACATCTCTCTGAGAGCTCCAGGAGGACCAAAGGTTTCAGCTCTAACAGCAAACGGTAAGGTAGACTCTGTGTCTGTCTGTCCTCAGCTCCTCCCCCTGTCCGTCCGTCTGGGTTTCGGTTTTCTGAGTCACTCAAAACATCCCGACATGTTTGGGAATTACAGAAGATTTATTCACAGAGCTGCAGTTGTAAAGATTTGGTGACAGCAGCTTATAATTAGCAGCTTTTCCTCCATCTGTTTACATTCCAACACCATGACTCCACTGCTGCTGGTCTAAAGCTCTACAGGAGCCTCAAATTAAAGCTGTTAAATATCTGCATGGCTCAGAGGAAACAAGCTGGGAACAGAAACCAAGATGCTTCAGACTGGATCCAGCTGCCACTTTCTGAACAACGTTCTGATCTAAGCAGGAATCTGTTTGTTCATCCCTACTGAACGTTTCTGAGCTCCAACTTTTCCCCTGCAGGAAGTTTAATGTTATTCTTCTCCAAGCTGTCTGATCATCCATCAGAGTTTCATACTTTCCAAGCTAATAGACGGAAAAACATATTTCCGGTTCTTATTATCTTCTTCTGTTGTAAACTTTCAGTTAATATAATTCTTAAAAACTTGAAACCTCTGAGACTGGTATTTATTATTTTACTTTATCCAAATCAAATGGTTAGTCCTTCATCATTTAAACCACTATTAGAGCCATTGTAAAGATCTAAAGAGTCAGAACTGCAGGTTGCAGAGCCCTGGATGAGACTGTTGTCAAAGTAATGAGTAAAGGTATCAGCATTAAAAAACTTCTATCAGTCGATCTCTAACATTAAACATTTGCAGGACCACAGAAGAAGAAAAACTTATGATTTATTTAACCTCATTTCAGACCAAAACACAAACTCTGAGCATCATATTCAGTTGCATCCTAATTCCAGCACACTCCTGCTCTTTGATGGCATTTGATCACTGAGAGAACATGAAGGTCAGCCCACCAAGAGGAGCTGCGTTCAGTTAGTTGTGCTAACTGGGTTTATAGACACAGTTTATTTGATGGTGTTTATAGATACTTAATACTAATACTACCAAATACTGTGAGAATCTTCTGTATTAGCTGCTCATACACTGAGATCATGACTCGTACTTAAAATCCAACTGGTGACGTTCAGAGATTAGTGTACAGGAACAACAAAGCTGATCGTGCAGGATGGAGTGGTACAGTCAAGTCAAAGTCATCATTAAAATGATTTATAGAGCACATGTGGATTTTTAACAAAGACGTAGAATACAGAGTCACTGGGCTGTTCTACTATTTAAAGGAAAACAGTTAAGAGCGTCGGAGCAGCCACATCACATACTCACTCCCCTATAGTTTCAGCTGAGATCTTGGAACAACGTCAGTTGATCAAGTTGGAATGTGGACCTTCAGATCACCAGACAAAAAAATGTATATATTTTACAACTTTAAAGAATATCTAAAAACTTTGGCTTACAGAATCTACAATCAGTGAAGAATAAATTAGAGCAGAAATAATTGTCCACGAGGCGCCAAATAAAAAATGAATAAAGAATGGATGGATGGATGGATGGATGGATGGATGGATGGATGGATGGATGGATGGATGGATTGGTGGATGAATAGACGGCTGGATGGATGGATGGATGGATGGGTGGATCAATAGCTGGACGGATGGATGGATAGATGGATGGAAGGATGGATGGATAGATTAGTGGATGAATAGATGGTTGGATGGATGGATGGATAGATGGATGCATGGATGGATGGATGGGTGGATGGATGGATGGATAGATGGATGGACGGATGGATGGATAGATCGATGGACGGATGGATGGATAGATTAGTGGATGAATAGACAGTTGGATGGATGGATGGATGGATGGATAGATGGATGCATGGATGGATGGATGGATGGATGGATGGATGGATGGATGGATAGATGGATGGACGGATGGATAGATGGATGGACGGATGGATGGATGGATAGATTGGTGGATGACTAGACGGGTGGATGGATGGATGGATGAATAGATGTTTGGATGGATGGAAGATGGGTAGATGGATGGATGGATGGATGGATAGATGGGTGGATGGGTGGATGGATGGATAGACGGGTGGATGGGTGGATGGATAGATGGGTGGATGGATGGATGGATGGATAGATGTTTGGTTGAATTGAAGATGGGTGGATGGATGGAAGATGGGCTGGATGAATAGATGGTTGGATGGATGGAAGGTGGGTGGATGGATGGATGGATGGATGGATAGATGGGTGGATGGATGGATAGATGGGTGGATGGATGGATGGATGGATAGATGGGTGGATGGATGGATGGATGGATAGATGGGTGGATGGATGGATGGATGGATAGATGGGTGGATGGATGGATGGATAGATGGGTGGATGGATGGATGGATGGATAGATGGGTGGATGGATGGATGGATAGATGGGTGGATGGATGGATGGATAGATGGGTGGATGGATGGATGGATAGATGGGTGGATGGATGGATAGATGGGTGGATGGATGGATAGATGGGTGGATGGATGGATGGATGGATGGATAGATGGGTGGATGGATGGATGGATGGATAGATGGGTGGATGGATGGATGGATGGATAGATGGGTGGATGGATGGATGGATAGATGGGTGGATGGATGGATGGATAGATGGGTGGATGGATGGATAGATGGATGGATAGATGGGTGGATGGATGGGTGTATGGATGGATGGATGGATGGATAGATGGGTGGATGGATGGATGATGGATAGATGGGTGGATGGATGGATGATGGATAGATGGGTGGATGGATCGATGGATGGATAGATGGATGGATGGGTGGATGGATCAATGGATGGATGGATCAATGGATGGATGGTTGGATGGATAGATGGGTGGATGGATGGATGGATGGATAGATGGGTGGATGGATGATGGATAGATGGATGGATGGATGGATGGATGGATCAATGGATGGATGGATCAATGGATGGATGGTTGGATAGATAGATGGATGGATGATGGATCGATGGCTCAATGGATGGATGGATAGATGGGTGGATGGATCGATGGATGGATAGATAGATGGGTGGATGGATCGATGGATGGATAGATGGATGGGTGGATGGATCGATGGATCAATGGATGGATGGATCAATGGATGGATGGTTGGATAGATAGATGGATGGATGATGGATCGATGGCTCAATGGATCGATGGATAGTTGGATAGATGGGTGGATGGATGGATGGATAGATGGGTGGATGGATGGATGGATGGATAGATGGGTGGATGGATGGATGATGGATAGATGGGTGGATGGATAGATGGATGGATGGGTGGATGGATCAATGGATGGATGGATCAATGGATGGATGGTTGGATGGATAGATGGTTGGATGGATGGATGATGGATCGATGGCTCAATGGATGGATGGATAGATGGGTGGATGGATCGATGGATGGATAGATAGATGGGTGGATGGATCGATGGATGGATAGATGGGTGGATGGCTCAATGGATGGTTGGATGGATCGATGGATGGATGGATCGATGGATGGTTGGATAGATGGGTGGATGGATGGATGGATGGATGGATGGATAGATGGGTGGATGGATGGATGATGGATAGATGGGTGGATGGATCGATGGATGGATAGATGGATGGGTGGATGGATCAATGGATGGATGGATCAATGGATGGATGGTTGGATGGATAGATGGTTGGATGGATGCATGATGGATCGATGGCTCAATGGATGGATGGATAGATGGATGGATGGATAGATAGATGGGTGGATGGATCGATGGATGGATAGATGGGTGGATGGCTCAATGGATGGGTGGATGGATCGATGGATGGATGGATGGATGGATAGTTGGATAGATGGGTGGATGGATGGATGGATAGATGGGTGGATGGATGGATGGGTGGATGGATCGATGGATGGATAGATGGATGGATGGGTGGATGGATGGATCAATGGATGGATGGATCAATGGATGGATGGTTGGATGGATAGATGGGTGGATGGATGGATGATGGATAGATGGGTGGATGGATCGATGGATGGATAGATGGATGGATGGGTGGATGGATCAATGGATGGATGGATCAATGGATGGATGGTTGGATGGATAGATGGTTGGATGGATGGATGATGGATCGATGGCTCAATGGATGGATGGATAGATGGGTGGATGGATCGATGGATGGATAGATAGATGGGTGGATGGATCGATGGATGGATAGATGGGTGGATGGCTCAATGGATGGGTGGATGGATCGATGGATGGATGGATCGATGGATAGTTGGATAGATGGGTGGATGGATGGGTGGATGGATGATAGATGGGTGGACGGATGGAAGATGGGTGGATGGATGGATGGGCGGATGGATGGATGGATAGATGGGTGTATTGATCGATGGATGGATGGATAGATGGGTGGCTGGATGGATGGATGGATGGGTGGATGGATCGATGGATGGATGGATCGATGGATGGATGGATAGATGGTTGGATGGATGGGTGGATGGATGATAGATGGGTGGACGGATGGAAGATGGGTGGATGGATGGATGGGTGGATGGATAGATGGGTGTATTGATCGATGGATGGATGGATAGATGGGTGGCTGGATGGATGGATGGATGATTGATAGATGGGCGGATGGATGGATGGATGATGGATCAATGGATGGATGGATGATGGATGGATGGGTGTATGGATGGATGGATGGATGGATAGATGGTTGGATGGATGGGTGTATGGATGGATAAATGGGTGGATGGATGGATGATAGATGGGTGGATGGATGGAAGAATGTATGGATGGATGAATGGGTGGATGGATGAAGATGGGTGGATGCATCATAAACTTTTATGATTTTTATTAGTCTTTTATGAGTCTATATGACCCATGAGTCATATAGACCAATGGGTACCAGTAGGTCGTCTCAATCCTTGTGCTGTTCAGTGTTTCCCAGCGGTTTGGATTTGGACATTACAGTAAATTGACTGCATTGAAGACGGATTTATCGAATTAATTGCTGTTTAAGTTCTGGTTCATCCACCTTGCTTTCTCTGTAGCTGCATCAGAACCTTGATGTTCCCAGAGTTAAGTGATAGCTAAAGTCTGTATTTTGATCCCGTGTCACATTTTAAAGCTGCCCCACAGACCCGAACAGCTCTTAGTTCCTCTATAGACTCTCAACATGTTTTTAGGTAGAAACCAACGCTTTGAGTTCAATTTAAACTGGTTACAACCCGATGGTGGCGCTGTGGAGGCAAATGCATTCTATCCACTGGCTCCACGTTCTTTAGTTATCTGTAGTTCTGTGTTGTTGTTTTTATTTTATTTGGTTCTGGATGCCTTTAGGTGAGAAATAAGGAGATGTTTCTAAGAAAGGATTTTCTGTTTCATTGAACATGGAAGCTGTGAGATGTTGAAATTATTCTGGATCATCTGAAGAAAAGAGAACCAAATCTTTGGACCAGAACTCTGTTTGCTGCTTCTCCATCTGAGCCTGATCATCCAGGAACTGGGCTGCTGAATATTTTCCGTCCTCCCCCCCTCCCTCCCCTGTGTTGCACTGATTTTCTCCCTTTGTCTCCCATTTATCCCTGGATTCCTATTGGACAGAGCTGAGGGGGGTGGAAGAGGGGTGGGTCTGTGTTCAGACCTTTAGCCCGTGGATCTGCAGGTCAGTTCTGGGTCTGCACCCAGAGATCCAGTAAACTTCACATGCAGAGAAAGCCTGTTAATGTTAAAAGAAGCCGTGTGAAGCTTCAGGTTTAAATAGATGAATAAAGAAATAAGAAATTAAAACCTTTAGAAAAATCTGACTGGATATTAAGGAGATTTTATTCTTACTTTAAAGAATCGTTGTGTCCATCCAGATCTGGACCACTGTTGAACTTTCTGACTTTTCTTTCCTACTAATCATATCAGGGAACCGTTTGACTGCTTTTTATCAGAGAATATTACCAAACATATGAACAGCTTTAGTTTCTAGATCTGAAACTGATCAATGAAGCAGCTCAAAGAGACTCCACTCCCTCTCAGACCATCATCATGGCAATAATCTAACCTGTTTAGGTAAAATGACAAAGTAAACAGGTTCTGTTTTCATGTAGAAGCTGTTGAGGAAAGAGAGAAAAGCTTCATATCAAAATGATCTGGAAAGAAGAGAAGAACCCATGACTTCTGCTCAGAAATCAGCTCAATCCAGACAGCAGAAAAAAGGCAGCCAGGGTAAAAGTTCAGCGCGGTACCAGAACTTGGACACAGCAGAGGAAACTAAGCAAACCAAACAAACCTTAAATACCACAAGGTGAAAACAACCAGCCTGTATGGAGATATAATTACATCCTTAGGATGAGTGATGAACAATGGCTCCATTAATCTGTCTGAAACATGAAGGTTCAGATGCTTAAAACCACATTTCTAAGCAGGAGCCATTAAACCCAGCAGAGCAGACCTGCATCTGTTAGAACCTTCATCATCTCTGATGAAGGTGATCTATAATCTAGAGATGGAGCTAAAGATGGCAGCATGCGGGTAATTTGTGCAGCTTCTCTACGGACTGCGATTATTCTGAGAGCGGGACTCTGATACTCGATAGAGAGCTACATTCAGGGCAGTAGCAGGGAGATGGAGCAGAATATCATTTAATTTAATTGCCCTTTAAATTACCAGATGGGATTATACAAAAAACAAAACCAAAAACAACTAAATGGGATTACATACAATTACAGAGATTAGATTTTAAAGCCATTCAGGGAATCTGACAGCAGTTGATCACTTTTTGAAGTTTCCATCTGGTCCATCAGTGGGTGTGGCCTTTTAAAATGGGTTTTTAAAAGGGGCGTGGCCTGTACATGTCAGTGATTGTTCGGAGGAGTAGTTATAAACCTCTGGCTGTGGTTGCAAAGGGTTCATGAAGATTTCTGTAACATTGTCCAATTTAAGAAACATTTGGTTTAAACATTTTTTTCACAATTTTTTTTGAGAGGCCTAAAACAAATATTTAAAACCTGATGAAAAACAAGATTTTGGCTGTAGAACCCAACAGTTGGTGTTATTTTAATCAACAAAGAGATGAAATGTGTCTGACCCAGTTTCATGACGATACAATGGTTAACTGGACATTATGTCAACAGTGGCGGAGCCAGAGGGATACTTGGGGTGGCAAAGGCCACCCCAGAAGAAATCCTTGCCACCCCTGTTGCCACCCCACAGAAAAAATTACACCGTTTGAATTTTACCGACAATTTCCCAGCCTAATTGAATGCATCCTCAAGCATCCTCTTAATTGGTTAAGCTGACATGCAGTTCCTGCATGCACAAAATGCGACAGCGACACACAGGATCAATGAAAAGCGTTTCCTCTGCTGGTATGAACGTTTATTGGTACTAATTTAATCAAAATGTTTTAAGAGGAAGTAAGGGAGACATTGCACCACAGCGCTTGTGCTTAGTATTACCTAGGAGTATTACTACTTCAATAACTACTCTCATGTCTGCTCCTGCTGTCCAAATAAAGTGGATTGATTTTCAAAAAGTAATGTACCCATATGAAAAGCCTAGGGAACTTCAAGGACTTTCAGATGTTAGGTGGGCTTGCAGGATGGCATGGTGAACTATGAGAGACAGGCTTCCAGCTATTTTAAGGATCTGGCAAAACATTTCACCAGAGAAGAATAGTGGAGACAGGAAAATAAAGCAAAGGGTCTTTTAGCCAAAATTAAGCTACAGTTTATAGAACTTTTGTTTACTTTTTGTGAAGAGTTTGGGGACGTGGAAATCCTGTCTGACATGCTCCAATCCAGAAGTCTTTATCTGGGGAGAGCAATAGGTCTGGTTCGTTCCCTTAAAGACACGTTAAAAAGCTACAGAAGTGATATAGTACACTTGGTGAATTATGGAAGGAGACTGAAGAACTTGCGCACCACTGCGTTATTGTCACTGAAGCACAAAACAAAAGACGACCAAAGACCAATTCCAAATTTCTGGACTCACATGTAATTAGCTGGACAGAGGCTCTGTGAGTTTGAAAATAATGAAGAGCTCAATAGAAATATTTTCTTTCAGGTACTTGATCGTCTTAAAGCAGAAATAGAGGTGATTTTCCAAAAAGAACTGTGAGATAATGGAAGGAGTGCAGTCTCTGACCCTACAAGCCCATCATTCCTAAAAGAGGAGCCTCTGCTAGCTTTCAGGAAAACATTTAAGTCAGATTTAGAAGACCTTAAGCATGAGGTTCATTAAACGAGACGGCTTCTTTAAAGAAGGGAGAAAAGTGGAGAGAGACCAACTTTTCTACTTGAGTTTGTTGTGTTGTTAGAAACTTATAAAGAGGTTTTCCAAGAACTTTTTAGGCTGACTAAAATTCCTGTTATGATTCCAGTTAACACTGCTTCTCTGCACTTAAATTAATAAAAACCCACCTTAGGACAACAATGGCAGATGGTAGATCAAGTCATCTGGCCATACTCAGTGTTGAATCAAGGAGTGCATATTCCCTAAATATGGAATAACATTTTGCTTCATCTCACCAGAATTGTCGAATTTTGCTGTTCTGATTGTTTTTGTGAGCTTGGTGTTGTCATATCTCCTGGCAGTGGTCAACGTTAGTCAGTTTTAAAGGGCTGTATATTTTTCTGTTTGGTTGTTCTATTCTTCTTCCTGTGGTAAACATTTAAATGCTCACCACTGCTTGTCCTGCCTTGTTTTTGGCAGGTCGAAATTTACCTCCAGTTTTTGTTTACTACTGGATTTGTAGAGTACATTATTGTATACATTTTGGAAGATAAACAGCTTAAATTTAATCAATATACATTTTACGGAAAAAGATTATTGCTTGTAGAGCAATTGAACCCTTTATATATCGCCCCAATCTTCAAATAATACCTCGCCATCCCTCTTTTAAAAGTCCAGCTATGCCACTGTATGTCAATCAACTTTAACTTGGTTTCAGAGCAGCTGGATATGAGAGGTACTGACCTCTAGTGGTATGGATCAAAAACTACACCTGACTATGTATGGATTGATGAATCTGGTTAATAAATCAGAGAGAAAATCATACAAAGAGGCGCCCTGCCTAAAACTCTGTTTGAAGCTTTCTTTCCAAGCAGCTTTTCTAAACGTCTGAAGCTGGACCTGAATCAGAGGCTCGGATGATTTAACAGCAGCAGCTTTATTACAGCTTTAGACAGAAAGAGCTGCTGATCCTGCTGCGATCAGACAATCAGCTCAGTGAAGGTGTCTGTTAGCCTCAGATCTCTCTGCTTTAATAATGATAGGTCCGCTGCTTCAGACCAGTCATTAAACACACACTCTGCCAAGGAACCGGCCATTAGGGAGCACAGCAGAGCTATATGAGGGCCAGGAGCGCCACTGCTCTCCTTTTTCTGAGAAGCTGCTGCAGGTAAAAAAACTTCTGACGGTTCAGATTGTGTTTGCTTTTCAGGTACTGATGCAGTAGATAGAATAGTAGCGAGTATAGTAGAGCTGAGCTTTAATCTGTGGCGCTCTGCAGGAATGAGGTGGTGGCTGGTGTGGGCCGCTTTGGGGCTCCTGGGGGTCCTGATCCTCCCCGACGTTCAGGCTGGGGGGAGACATCGAAACCACGAAGGAGAGAGACGCAAAGGGAAGAGAAGGAGGGACGGGCAGGGTGAGACTGGTCTTGTTATTGCATGCCTGATGTACCGTTTATGAGTTAGATCAACTAAAACAATCCACAGAAACGTACTGTTAGAATCTGTAGAAATAGGAGCTAAATAAAACTAAATAAAATTAACCCTGCATTGACCTGCAGGCGTCACTCGGACCAAAGAAGGACGCTCTAAACCTCTGAAGATCCGACTGGTTCCTGGTCCAGCTATCCCAGAAAAACCAGGAGGAAACCAAGGAGATGCTGGAACCCTGACCTTTTACACGAACGGCCCCCAACTGCAGTCCAGCTACAGCGTCATCCCAGGTTGGTAAGAAAACAGAAATATGGCTTTAGGTAAAAAAGAAGAAAAAAAGAGCAACAAATCAGAAAGATGTACTGATCTTCTCTAGTTTACAGTTTCCATCCAGCTGGTTCTGAAAATCTGTTCTCCTCAGTAAATATTTTATGCACAGATTTTTTTCACTAAAGTGTTAATTTCTCTGTGATTAAAATCTTTGAACACTTTGAAGGTGAAGAATGCAAAACCAACTGCAAAAAAATTAATGAAGCTTTAAAAAAAATTAAACTGCATCTAGAAATATCAGGGATAAGAAAATAACTCCTGTAATGAGGAAAGCCAGGCATACACTGGGCCATTTTTCAATCATCTCACGCAGCTACAGCTCACACTAGGGATGGAATGATTTATGAAAACCGTCCGAACCATTCGGTTCGACTGTCTCGGTTCGGTTCGCGTGTGTTGCGTTCGGTTCATGCGCTGCTCCTTTTTCTCATAGGCGAAGCGTTTACACTCCAGAGCAGAAGGTGGCGGTACTGCGACCAAAGCCAACTACCAGTAGTAAACAAGAAGAAGAAGAAGCGAAGCAGCGTAGCCGGGTGTAGCAGGAAAAAATCAGTTGTTGTGGAGAATTGTGTGGGTATGGCGAGTGGGAAAGAACAGGAGTTGGAAGACGTGCCAGCAGCACTTTATAGGTCTGCTGTATGGGACCACTTTGCATCTAGAGTGACCTACGATGACGGCGGAAAGAAAGTTGTGGATAAAAGTGCAACAGTGTGCAAGCAACACGTGTTATACCGTACTATAAAAGACATAATAGATCTTCCTAACAACATATCAACATATACCGAACTGAAAACCGTGACCACGTAACCGTGAACCGAACCAAACCGTGAATCTTGTGAACCGTTCCACCCCTAGCTCACACTGTGCGATGAATCCGCAGGGTTTAAAAGTTCACTGCTCACCATGTATGTTCTCACACTGTGTGGCCCGACGCTTAAATGCGATCTACCTGCTCACACTGTACATCTAAAAACCAGGTGGACTCAGCTCTGCAGTGAGATGGCGCTACTCGGACTCGTCTATCCGGAAGCCAAAAGAGTAGAAGAGGAATATGAAGCTCACTAGAGTGAAATGTGCTGCCTTGGCAATTTGTGCGATTTTGCGCTAAAAAGAAAAAGGCTAAAAAAGCCCTAAAAAGAAAAGGCGAAGACGTTTTTGGACAAAGACATGGCTGAGCAAACGTGGCTACTACGGTCTGTTAATTTTACAGAAAGAACTGCATTTCACTCGCACCCTTCTGTGTTTTCATTTAAGAAGAAGAATCCTTGTTTGCGCACTGAGCGATTTGCCCACGACCTCCTCACAGGTTTGATTTTCCCCCGACCTCAGGATTACTGAACGGGAATTGGTCGTGAGAGGCTGATCGCCCCTTGTTACCCCCCATACATTACATGAAGCACGATCAGGCCGAAGGTTGGCCCGATACAAAAAATCTCTCACAACTGGAAAGTCTTCCTGAAAAGGGCAATAATCGTTGAGTGTAAGCCTGGCTTAAGGAAAATGATTCATGGTTTCAGAGCGGATTGGATTTAATAACTTGGTAGAACCTCCTTATGCTGCAGCTCTTTGAGGTTTCTCTGTTTTTAACATCTATGAACACCTCAGGTTTTCTTCAGATTCTCATTTAGGTTCAGATTTAGGGCTGAACTTTGACTAGGCCACTCTAACATAACTCTGACCTTAACCCATTCATTGCATCTCCGTCAATATTCCCATTAAGGCTGACCTCCCTTTCTACTTTACAGTTACTGATAAATTTCATGTTGATTTTTCACATAAATACTCTGCTGTTTGTAAAACGACACAATAAAAAAAAAAAAAACTGTATAAACATTGCGGTTACACAATCATTATAATTGCACAGTTTAACTGCTTTAAAGCCACTAAAGTCATAACTAAGAGGTGATTACAATTAGTGTTAGTTTAGTTCTAGCGGTTAAAATGATCATAGGGAATAAAAAGCTGCAAAGCTGAATGAATCTTGTTCAGTCTGAGTAAACAGCTGAACCCAAAGGCGTCACAACAAAGCTTCCCATTATTATTATTACAGCTCAGTCATTTAGTGACAAAGCATCACATTCCTAAAAGAAAAAAGGAGAGAAACCATCTGGGAGCTCAGAAACTTCCCACAGAGAAATGGGAGGAATCCTGCAGATCAGCACATTGAACCCGGTGCTGCTTAATTAGAAGGAAGGTGGCAGAAATCTGCAGCTCGGAGCTCAAGGCCTTTATGTCTGAGGCCGATGGAGAGAAACGGCTTTAGAGCAGCTAAAGAGGAGAACAGAAGCAGATCTGGACGTTTTATTTGCCCCTCATGATTTAAATTAGGTTTTAAAATGTCCCAGAAACATCTGCTAAAGTCCTTCAGTTCTCATCAGCTAAAACAAACCGGGAATAAAACAACAGCAAAAGACTTTCATTGTGTTATAAATCAGAAGATTAAAATATTCCCGCTTCATAACTTTTAAGTGAAGCTAATGTTAGTAATTTACTGCTTTATTTCAATAGTTTACCAAAAAGGCTTAATAATCTTCTGCAGATATATCAAAATAAAGATCCCTGAAATTTTCATTTCCGTAACTCCGTATTGAAGAGAAACACGTTTAAAACTGATATTTTAAAGTAATTTATATTAATTTTCAGCTAATGAAAACATGAATTTAAGATTAAAATATTAAACCAGACCCAAAAACTATTACAGAAATGTGAGCTTAATGTAAAAAAAATGTTGATGCCAAAAGTTTAAAGGTTCTTATGCTTCCATTATCGCTTAGAAAACCAAAAATATAAAGGAATCAATCTGATTAATTGACTAGAAATGCTGTCCCCCAGGAGTGGGAACAGGGGCTCTGCATAGGCTGGTGGGGGACCAGGGGCCCTGTATAGGCTGGTGGGGGAACAGGGGCCCTGCATAGGCTGGTGGGGGAACAGGGGCCCTGCATAGGCTGGTGGGGGCTCTGCATAGGCTGGGGGGGAACAGGGGCCCTGTATAGGCTGGTGGGGGAACAAGGGCTCTGCATAGGCTGGTGGGGGAACAGGGGCCCTGCATAGGCTGGTGGGGGAACAGGGGCTCTGCATAGGCTGGGGGGGGAACAGGGGCTCTGCATAGGCTGGTGGGGGAACAAGGGCTCTGCATAGGCTGGTGGGGGAACAGGGGCCCTGCATAGGCTGGTGGGGGAACAAGGGCTCTGCGTAGGCTGGTGGGGGAACAGGGGCCCTGCATAGGCTGGTGGGGGAACAGGGGCTCTGCATAGGCTGGGGGGGGAACAGGGGCCCTGCATAGGCTGGTGGGGGCTCTGCATAGGCTGGGGGGGAACAGGGGCCCTGTATAGGCTGGTGGGGGAACAAGGGCTCTGCATAGGCTGGTGGGGGAACAGGGGCCCTGCATAGGCTGGTGGGGGAACAGGGGCTCTGCATAGGCTGGGGGGGGAACAGGGGCTCTGCATAGGCTGGGAGGGGAACAAGGGCTCTGCATAGGCTGGTGGGGGAACAGGGGCCCTGCATAGGCTGGTGGGGGAACAAGGGCTCTGCGTAGGCTGGTGGGGGAACAGGGGCCCTGCATAGGCTGGTGGGGGAACAGGGGCTCTGCATAGGCTGGTGGGGGAACAGGGGCTCTGCATAGGCTGGTGGGGGAACAGGGGCTCTGCATAGGCTGGGGGGGAACAGGGGCCCTGCATAGGCTGGTGGGGAAACAGGGGTTCTGCATAGGCTGGTGGGAGAACAGGGGCCCCGTAGGCCTCAGAGGTCCTCAGACCTTTACTGCTTCTTCTTTCTCTGTTTCTCTGAAACAATTTTAATGATCAAAGTTGATTTAAAACAGAGCTGTTGATATAAAGAGATATTTTCTAAAGGTATAACATTCTATATTAAGGACATAAATACTTCAATAGCTACAGTTTAAAGTTAACCAGCTTAATATTAATTTTAAAATATTCCTTTTTTTTCGTTTAAAGCCTCAGGTAGAGGAGTGGGATAGAAAATGGATGGATAGATATTCTACACTAAAGTGTTCTCGATTATTTGCAAAGAACGAAACAGAGTCATCTTAAAAACATCACTATGTTGTGTCTGTAGAACTAATCTCTATATCATGTTAAAGCCAATTTTCTTTGTATTTCAACAAATAACCTCATCAGAAGCAGAATAAAAATATTTTATTTTATTCTAGAAATGTAAATATTAATTTTTCCTGAGATGTAAATAGTTTTTTTTTACCTTAATTTAAAAAGATAAGATTCCTGCTGGCTAAAATCTAAATGGTCAGAATCACAGGCGAAGTTCAGCAGGGCTCCATTCTGATGCTAACGCAACGGTACTGAAAACACTAAAAAAAATTAAAAAAACAATCCACTGGACTTTGTTTCCAAGTTTGAAGACGTTTTGCTTTCCATCCAGGAAGCTTTTTCAATTTAAAATGTCAGAAATAGTGTTGAGTTCGAGGCTTTATAGAGCGGACTAAGAACAAAGCCTTGACCTGGATGACTGAGAAGCTCCACCAGCATATCCCAACCTCAACCTTTTCTATGTTAAACTCATACAAAACTCTTCTTTTTTACATGGTGAACAGATTTAGAAAGTAAGGTCTTCATAAAAGGCTCGACACATTAATAGCCTTCATTTAAACTCTGCCAGACAAACAGTAAAAAATAAATAACTTTGTTTTCACTGAGTGAATAAACAGAGTCAAACAAAATGTAAAAGCCAGAAAGCAGAACTTTGAGTGTCTTACCAATAAAATGTTAAACATCCTGTCTGAAGAAGAGATATTAAACTGAGCACCAGGGAAAGATTGTCCCACAGGATAATCAGAGGTTACTGTCATTTATTATAAATCTCTGCTATCAAGGCAGCAATAAAGAGCCTGTGAGACAGGGAAGCAATATTTTAAAGAGAAAAGAAAAGCTCTAATGTATGTGTGCTCCAGCAGAGATGACAGGGGGACAGTCACCCTGCTCATATTAAAAAGGACAGAAATGTATTTAAGAGAAACTACCTGAGCCTCTATAACTACCTGTGCCCCTGCAGACCCAACAGGTAGCATGCCATTAGAAAGGATAGATGACAGACGGGACGCAGTCCAAACAGAGCCAGAGAGCCCCTTCCTGCTGCTCCACTGTGTTTTACAGTCTTTCCTTCTGACTCACTGCCAGTCGCAGCCCCGTCATGTTCAAGACCTCCAGCTCAAAGGTGGGGTTATCTCCCGGGGAGGAGACCCAACGCCACAAATCACTGCTTTGTCTGCTTCTTATGTACAAGTACAGGCCAGACAACAAACCAGACGCACAATTACTGTAACTGGACATAATGCTGCAGCTGAGGGGAGCATCGGGACCAGGATTAGATGGGGGCCTTGAAGGAGCCCAGGCCTTTACTGTATGTCCCCCATCTCTCTCTGCCCTTTTTATATGGTCCAACCCATAAATAAAACATACAAATAGAGTCTACTTTAGAACAGACATTGTTGGTGCATCACCCTAATTCACAAAGGCCTTACAATAAAAAATCTGCAGCTCAGATGATGCAGCACAGCAGACAGCGTCTCTCTATGCTGTTACAGCAGGAAGCATTTAAAGCAAGCGTTCTTCTTGCATTTGGAGGGAAATTACATATGTAATTATACGTGCACATTTCTATCAAATGTTGGTGAACAAATAAATTAAAAGAAAGCATTAGTTACCAATCAGAGTTTTGTATTTCATATGCTGTTGGCCTATATTTATACATTAATCTGTAAAAGTGTCAGACTGTTCCAGGTTTCTTTTATTAATCCAATGGAGTCATGGAGCTGCAGCTGTGGGAGATGTTCAGCTTTATTGGGCCTGTCCAAGTATTTCAACTGATCCCTCAGGTTTTACCATCTCACTTTCACCCGTACTTCTGCTTATCCAGGACAAGGTCGCAGAGGCGGTTTAACTCTACTTTTATTAGCAGTCTAACACAATGCAGATCAATAATATCTGCAGGAGCTAAAAGCTAAAGTGTTTATTACAGTTTCAGGCTGTTGTCCAATGACAGAAACCCTCTAATTAGGATTAAATATAATGTTTTAATCCTTGGTTAGTAATCAAGCTGAACTTTCAATTCAATTCAGTTTATTTCTATAGCACCAATTCACAACACATGTCATCTCAAGGCACTTTACAGTTAATCAGATCATCCAGTCAGATTTATTCAAAGTTTTTTATCTGAGGAAAACCAGTTGATTGCATCGACTCATTGACTAGAATGCAATCCCTCACACTAAGCATGCTTGTAGCGACAGTGGAGAGGAAAAACTCCCTTTGAACAAGAAGAAACCTCCAGCAGAACCAGGCTCAGTGTGAGCGGCCATCTGCTGAGGCCCACTGGGGTTCAAGGAGACAGAAGCAGAGATGCAAAAGGCAACTGTCAACCAGCGCCAGGCAGACGAGCTCCAAGCCAGCTCCCATGTCAGAGGATGAAGAGAGCACATCCAGTTAGTCACAGTCAGAGAAACAGGACTACACTGAAAAAAAAAACAAGTCGATCTCCAACGTCTATAAACAACTTTCATTATTTAAATATGATACATGTCATTATGGACATTTTACTTTTATATAAAACCTTCTCACCATAAAACTTGTCTGCAGCTTGTTTTAATTCTCAATAAACTGAATGATATATAATAAATACATTTGAAGCTCTAAATAATGTAGTTAGTTCATGTTGTTGGGACACTCAAAAAATGATCTAGAAATAATTAAAAGTTTCTTAAATTAAGTGTATTTACCCTTAATTTCAGTAGGTAAATGAGATAGTTTGCCAATGGAATGGAAATTTCTACAAATGCACTTATTTTAAGAAAAAAACGACTTATCTAGATTTCGATTTTTTCCAGTGGAGGAGGTTCAGCTCTGCTACATGTTGGTGTTATGATGAGGCAAATGTAAATAACAGTAACCCTGATGTTAAATGGACTCCCAACATGTCTGTGTTGCTCCAGGTAAGCAGGGCCAGTGCGTGTACCGCGGGCTGACCATGTTCGACCTGGCCGTCTGGTCTCCGTCGCCGTGTGTGACGTGTCTGTGCAGTGAAGGACGGGTGGTGTGTGATGAGATGAGCTGTCCCAGAATGCACTGCCCGTCCCCCGTCACCCCTGCAGGGCGGTGCTGCCCCGTCTGCATGGAGCCAGGTAGAAACACAACATGTGAGAGCGCCATGGTGCAGCATCCAGAGGAACCAGAGATGAATAGTGTTTGAACTAATTTCACTTTTAGCATCACAGATGTTTTTTTATTGTTGGATCTGACTGTAAATCTCAGAAATCTGGAGTTGGTTCCAGTTTCTGTCTCTGAGGCCTCAGCATGCTGCTTCCTGTTTACACCATGGCTTTAAAAATGTGCTCCACACATTTTGGACCAGCTAGCGCACATGTTGTGGACGTGTTCAACATGTTTGTATGTACATCTATGTTGGGGGTTTGCATCAGATAAGGTCAGACATAAAACAGAAAGTTTACAGCTTTAGGCAGTGGGTGGAGGAAACTGGTGTAAATGATGACGTCTCTTTATGAAACCCGGGAAAAAATGATCCGTCTCTTCATCCTGTTTTATTCAGATTTTCCTCCAAGCAGCCAGGCTTTCCTGCTCTCTCTTAAAAAGGATGAGATCAACATTTCTTCAGGCTTTCTGAAGGTCACACGGAGTCACACATTTTTTTCCCCCTCAACATGTAAAAAGATGAACAGTATCTGAATGTTGCATCTTTTAAGGGATAATTTAGATTCTGAGGTTCTGATCCTTAATTTCTGAGCAGGCAAAGTTTCTCCAGGGATAAATGCAAACAACTAAACTAGTTTAAATGTCTCCTGCTGGATGGAGAACAGCCAGGATTAGAGCCAACTTCTTCTCCACTTTACTAACAGAAGGAGTGGAACAATATCTGGATTAGGTGATTTTAAAATGCTGCTTCTCATAAAAGTGGTTCTGCCAAATAATGACTCAGGTTCTCTGGCAGAGATATATTTGTATGTTAATCTTTTTACAACTTTTCCTCTTTTTTAAATTTTGTGCAATTGATTTGATATTGTTTCTTATTTTCAAAACTTTTACCAAAGTAAATTTAAGAATGATAAATTAAATTTAATTCTTTCATATTGAAAATCTTTCATTACTATATTGCTAATTTTACATGGTCAGTTTAGGACATTTAGTCAATAGGTATGGCTAAAAATGATACAACCACCTATGATTTAAAATATATTCCAAAATACATGTTTTATGTCTTGCAGATTAATTGCTAAGAATTTGTTGACAAAATGAAACTAAATGTTAAAGTAATATTCTTTTAAGTCATAATATTTTTAAAAGTTTGCTTTTTTCATTTACATTAATTTCGATAATTGTTTGCATCCAATAGAAGAAAACGTAGCCACCCTCTGTCTTTTTTTTTTTTTTGCGGAAGTTTCATTTTTTGTATTAAAACACAGAAGACAGAAATAAATACAATTCTTTATTAGAATAAAGCCATATTTATATGAAAGCAAAGTGGTAATAATAGGAGACGGAAAATGTGTCCTAAAAAGAGGTTTTATAGAGATATTAAGATTTGAGTGAAATGATCAACTCAACTGGACCACAGCCTGAGAAGAGCATTTAAACCAAGAAGACAGGCTGTTCTTTCTTGGAAGAGGTAACATAAAAATAGGCAACCATGAAACACCCAAAGAAGGCTTTGACCTTGCAGATGAGAACTGTCCATCTATTGGCTGCAATGGTTGCTAGGCAATGATATCGATCATAGCCATTAGGAGAGAGAAAACAGGGAAGAGGGAAGTCAGACTTTGGGAGGTAGTTTAATTTTTGCAGACAGCAATTCTATTTGCAGGAAGCATTGAATCCGTTCCCAGAAACAAAGATTTTGAGGGAGAGAAGAAAATAATCAGAAGTTCTGAAAGCAAAAACTATGAGTTTCAACTAGAAAAACTAGAAAATCCTGCTTAAGAATAAAAGTGTGGGTCTTTAGCTGCTTCTAAGAGTCCAGATACCACTGCCATCAAACATTACGTGACAAATGTTATACATTAAAATCTATACAAATGTCCAGAAAAAACACATGAATAAGAAATAAATCAATAGAAATCTCTACCAAAAAATGCCCCATATAAAGTAAAATATAAATAAAAGTATTAGAACTGAAATAAAAGCATAACAGGGTTTATAATGACTGAACACTCCTGTGGAATAGAATTAACCTGCTAAATAAAAATGCACAGAATAACAAAACCCCACCCCCTGCAAACAAATGGGATTTTCCACACTCAGGGGTCAAAGTTCATGCAGCCTGTGACATGATCCCAGTTTGTTACTGGGTAATTATCAAGCTGATCCCAACACACATGACCCGGTCAGCTTCATCAGTGTGCTCTTATTTTGTAATATCTACAAAATAAGAGCACACTGATGAAGCTGACCGGGTCATGTGTGTTGTGCTCTTATTTTGTAATATCTACAGCCTGACCACTTCCTGTTAGGGTCTGAAGCAACAAACAGCATAAAGTGGCAGAAGGAGCAGGACGCTGAGAGAAAACAGCAGCATTTAGAGAATATTAAAAAAAAGGCCATTTCAGATAATTTGCTGCTGCATGAAATTTAACCCTAAATACAAAGCCAAGAACCACCTGAAATTTTGGTATTTTTTTGGAACAGAAGGTTGCGACACCTTAAAATTAAGGTAAGAGTCGGAAAAATACAGAAAAAATCCTGTACTTGCGTAGTCATTATTAGATAGTTTCCCAGAAGAGAAAGAAGAACAAAACAAACATTTCTCCAAAGACAATTGCTCTGTTTTCCATCCTGTTAAAAACCTGGAGGATCCTGTAATAAAATTTCAGACGTTCCCAGAATTTTCCAGATTCCATGAACTGGTGTTATTGCATTTATTATCTTTAAGAAAATGAATGAATGTTTTAATATCAAAGTGCATAAAGGTCCAGTTTAAACAGCTTCACCAAGCTTGACGTTCATCGATTGAGCTTAGGAACCGCCGTCGTTTGGTTCTGAGCTCAAACTGAGAGTCAGCAGAGCTGCTCCAGAGCGCGGCTGCTTGGAGGATCTCAGTCCAGATCATCTCCAAGCTTAGAGGCAGATGTTTCAGGAGGGGACCGGTCTACAGCAGCACTTTGCTCTGTAGCTTCAACCAGCTGGTCTGGAATCTGTCTGCAGCACTAACACAAACCCGTCTGTGTCCATCTGTCCAACTGTCTCCCTGCCTCTCTGTCCTTCATACCATCTCCTGTAGTTTCCTTCTTACTCCCTCCTCTCTCCTCTTTATCTCCTTCTCTCTCTTTCCTCTCTCTTTCTCTCCTTCCTTGCTCCCTGATTGGCTGCCCCGTGGCACCATGCACCCTAAGACTCCGAGTTCAGCCTTGAACTTTCTGGTGACTCCTCAGTTCCCAGTGACCCCAGTGAGCCCATCATCCCGCTGACCCAGGAGGAGATCCAGAGCATCCTTTGGCGGGAGGAAGAGGAGCACCGTGAGGAGGAGGAGCGTCTGAGGAAGAAGGATGAGGGCAGGAAGAAAAGAAGAAGAGAGAGGAAAGAGCGAGAGGAGAGGCAAAGGAAGATGGTTGAGGAGAGGAGGAGGGAGGAAGAGGAGGCCCTGAGGCTGCAGCTGAAGAAAGAAGAGGAGGAGTGGAGGAGACAGGTAGAAGAGGAGGAGAGACGCCAAGAGGAAGAGAGAAGAAGAGAACAGGAAAGAAGGATGGAAGAGGAAAGAAGGAGACAAGAGGAAGAGAGAAGGAGAGAGGAGGAACAAAGGATGGAAGAGGAAAGAAGAAGGCAGCAGGAAGAGGAGCAACAGAGGGAGGCAAAGGAGGAGGTGGAGGTGTGGCTGAGAGGAGATGTGTTCCAGATGCCCTCAGAAGAAGAGCTCATCCCCTCACCAGACCCAACACCTCCGGCTGTGACAGAGGAGCTGAGGGAGGAGCCAGAAGACATAGAGGGGGAGGAAGATGTGACACTACAGGTGGAGGAGGAGGAAGAGGAGGAAAGAGAGACGTGGATCAGAGGAGGCCTCCCTGCAGGCTGCGACATCTCAGACGTAACCATGACCTGCGAGAACGCCAACCTGAACCGCTTCCCTCCTCTGAGCATCCCGGAGCTCAAGTCTCTCAGCCTGGAAGGTGAGTCAGACAGACGACCGGGGGACAGAGGGGGACTCAGCAAAGGCTCCCATATCTCAGCCATACTGTTTGCTGCTCAGACAGTCTGCTTGCATTTTAAATTGTCGAGGTTATGTCGTAGAATAACTGCCAATAAAAACTAATGAATAGGTATCTGAATTTATAAATGTCGGTCAATAAACTTGTATAAATTCAGAATATGAATTTTCTCCGTGTATTAAACGTCTAATTCATGAGACATCAGATGCTTAATCTGTGAGAATAGAAGTTTAGAAGTTATGAATAAAAGGTCAACTTTAGCACAGGGCTGCAACTAAAGATTATTTTTCCAATTGATTAATCTGTTGATTATTTTTTCAATTAATCAATTAAATATTGGATAACCAAATGTTCCTTTTGTATATTTTTTATGAAATTAAACCAAGTGAAAGTAAAATGTTCCCGCTTGAAGAGTTCAGGGGGAAAAAATTTACTCTAATGCAAAATTTTCATATATTATTTCACAACTTTGGTATAATTACTGCTCTAAGTGGGTCACTCTGTCAGTTTCAGACATGATTTAGAGTCTATATTTTATTTGAGTATGAATCACAGATGTACAAGAAGGAATCTAAAACCCCAGATAAAGGTGTTACACTCCTTAATGCTCCTAGACGTTTTTGCTTGCTGCCTTTAAACAAGAAAACAAGATGAAGAAAATGGAACAAAATGTTCAATCAATGGTTCTATTTACATCACCTCTCTCTTCTTCTTGTCTAACAGTAGTAGGCAAACAACCCTCTAGTGGCGTACCGCCACCGACTGGTTAGGAGTGTAACAACTTCAGAGGTTGTAAACTCTTACTTGGAGTTTTGCAAGTTGTAGTATGTGTGAGTGTATTTAAGTGCCAAGACAATCTAGACAAACTATGAGAAAAATTAACTTAAAGACAACAGAGGACAACAAGACCAATGGACAAAGAATAAACAAGTGAAGAAAGAACCAGAGAGGCGAACAATCCTAAAAACAGCACCACGAAACACACAAAGGTTGTGGAGATGATGCAGGTGAGGATGCAGACACAGCCAGACAGCGGTGAATATTCTAGCAGGGAATCCCACTTCAACTAATGTTGAATATTGGTGATAATTTTAACCAACATAAAACTAAAACACAAAAAAAACCTTGTTTTACTTCGAATCAGGACCAAAAATGTTAATTAGTGCTACAAACTTGCTACAACCTGAATGGAAAACCCTGCTAAGATCTGAATCCTGTCTGGTAATCAGGAGTTCATGAAGCAGGAAATGTCCTCATTAAACTATTAGATATATTATTCTCAGATTCTTACAGAGAACAAACCAACACCGTCTTCATGGTTTTTATCTGGACTAACATTATTCTAATCTGCAGGAAACAACATCAGCAGCATCCCAGCAGAAGCCTTCAACGGCATTCCCAACCTGGAATGGATCAACCTGAAGAAAAACAAGCTGACCTCTGCTGGGATCAATCCCAAAGCTTTCACAGTAAGACATGTTGGTTAGAAGTAGCAGAGACCAACAGGCTCCATTCCTTTCTCTGTGGTCCCAATTGGGTTGAAGTCCAGCAGACATGTTTATGTGTAATAAACTAGGGCTGACTCCAACCGTTATTCTGCAAATCGATCCATTTGGTGATTATTATTTAGATCAATTGATTAATAATCAGATAGCCAAAGGTTCAATAAAGAACACTTTTTTATTAAATGAAACTAGTTGAAACTAAAATGTTTTCACTTGAGGAGTTCTAGAGCATATTGACAGATGAAAACTTTTTTTTTTTATCTTAAAAGCAAAATATTGGGGATAAATTTATTTTATATCAGTTCATAACTTTGGCTTCAACTGTAGTATTATTTAGTATTATCATTATTATGCACAGTTTCTACCTTACATCTCTGATGTTGCTGCTATTTTCAAATATACCCATTACTGTAAAAAATGTCCATAGCTGGATATTGGTTATTTATTCTCCAGGTGCACAGTTTTATATTGTTAAAACACTGTACAGTATTTGATGTGTTTCTTTTTTAACTCTTCACTATTATGTTATTCATATACATTTTTCTAAGGTCCACATTCATGTGACCATTTTTTCTATAATCATATTGCTGATGTAACACCAGAATTTCCCCTTTGAGGGACAATCAAGTTTGCATGTCTTTTGGACAGCGATCTTTTTAGAAAAACACACCCCCTTTCTGTAAGTACTAAAAATAAATAGAATGTGCAATTTAGCAGCTCTTATTCAGATTTGGTGTTATTACAGCTAAATATCTGAATGACATAGTAAGGACCTAAACATATGTTGGGCTGTCACTACAAACACTAAAAAATGCTTTTAGATCCAAACATTGTCCTTTAAATGGTTCCCAGTCTGACCGGTCTGTTGTTGCAGGGCCTAAAGATGCTGAGGCGTCTGTACCTGGATGAGAATCTTCTAGACGTGGTTCCACCTGACCTCCCCCCGACTCTGCAGGAACTGAAGATCAATGACAACCAATTGAGAGGAATAGATGAAAACGTCTTCCGAGGTAAAGAGATACCATCCAGACAGGATTGGTGGCTTGTTAAGCTTTGTACTTTATTACTGTTTAATTGTATTCATGAGGTTATTTAGTCCATCTCTCTTGTGGATTTTTTTTATTTTAGCTAAACACCATTTTTTTCCTGTTTCAGATCTTAAGAACCTGGTGATTCTGGAGCTGGAGGGGAATTTGCTGAGTGAAGGGAACGTCAGACCGCGGGCCTTTGCACCATTGACTCAGCTCTTCTACCTCAGACTGGGAAGAAACTATTTCCGCACTATTCCACAAGGCCTTCCTAAGTCGCTACTGGTATAACATTTTCAAAATTATCCATTATAGAAGTTCAAAACATGAAACTGAAGGAAAGAAGGTTTGTCTAATTTGGTGAATAAGAGTTAATAGGTTTGGTTGATGCACCCGAAGGCTGATTACTTATTTGAGATTTGTGTCCATCCTTTGGAAAGCCTGGCCTTCAAGGAACTCCCAGAAGAAGTTGAAAGTCAATCCCTGCCAAGTCCTGAAGATCCCGTTGTTTTTAGATAGCAAAACATAAACAGCTTTAGTGTTTCAGAAGGCTGAGGAAAAAAGAAGAAAAATCTAAAACAAAAAAAATATGCCAAAGTGGAAGAACCAAAAGAAATCAAGCAATTTTTATCTACTAGAGCAATAATTGTTAAAAATAAATACAACATTTGTACCAGGAGATATACACTGTGATCAGGTTTTCAGAGATTCATGCTGCTTCATGCTCTGTGAAATCAAATAAGTTCCTCCTTGACTGTGATGTTTAACCTCTTATAAGTGGGAAACCGACCTAGCCAACTAATTACAGCTTCAGGTTAACCACAGAGAGGGCTGAGTACTAGCAGGGCGCTGCTAGTGGTCCATCTAGAACACACCTTCTACAAACATAGAACCACAAACCTTCTTCATGTCACGAATCAAAACAACCCACCGTAACATCTGATAATAGGCTCTAAAATTCAACTTTAACCAAGTCAAAACATTAAAGCACTGCCAGGATATTACAACAATGCAGTGTTAAAGTGCTGGACGGTTCTTCTTTCCTCTTCAGGAGCTGCATCTGGAGAGCAACCTGATCGAGGAAATCTCAGAGACGGTTTTAAATCAGACCACAAACCTAAACCTGATTTCTCTGAGACACAACAAGCTGGACGAGACCAGGATCGCCCCCATGGCCTGGTTCAACCACAGGTCAGACCTAAACAGAACCATCAACTATCAACTATCAGGGTCTAAGAAACTATCAGTTTGGTTCAGTCTAGACATTAAAGCATATGTCTTTTTCTGCAGGAACCTGGAGTCCATTGATTTGTCCCATAATGACTTGTATCTGGTTCCATCCTACTTGCCCAAGTCATTGGTCCACTTAGTGCTGGTGGGAAACAACATAGAGAGAATACCCGGTAGGTTAAAGGATAAAAATTGTTTTAAAGGTCTGTTAAAAACCTTACGGGTAGCTGCTGTAGAAGACCATCACAAGAAATCCAGTAGATGTGGTGTGGGGTTCATAAAATGTATGTTTTTGCAAAAGAAGAACTGAAATACAGACTTATTCCTGCAGGAAGGAGAGACAGTTGAACTCCAGACTCAAACACACTGTCTCCCACAGGACCTCCTCCGCAGAGCATTTTATTAACAGAACATGACACATGGTTACAAACAGAGTATTGTTCTGACAGAACAATCGATCAGCTCATGAAGACAGAATGCTCCATCAGAATGACAAGGCAGGATGGTCTCCTGACTGAATCATGAGACAGGAGTGGAGCATCCCCTCGCACAAATGTTTTATAAGCACACATTAATTTTATAATCATCATTGAATAAACCTAACATGTGGTTTATTAGTCTGATAAAACAGGCGAAGCTACAGCAGGGCTGAATTATTAAACGGGGCTGAGTTATTGACGAGAATTAGCACATGATTTTATTCTTTGGTTTTGTTTTTATTGTTAAATAGATTTTGTTGTTTTTAACAGTTTTATTGCTCATTTTCTTTGTCTTAGGTTTTACATTTGAACTGAGACAGCACTAACTTTATTGTGTAGATCAACTGTTCTTCAGCTGTCATTAGTTTGCTTCTGCAACATCCCGTATCCTGTTACTGAAAAGTACAGTATAAATAAACCTTTTTACACACTTCAACCTTTAACAGATCAAAATGTCCTCTCATTCCTTCACAGGATACATCTTTGCCCACATGGATCCCGGTCTGGAATACCTCTACCTGTCCTTCAACAAGCTGGACGGGGAAGGAATCGAGCCAGAGTCATTCTTTGGCGCCTATCACTCCATGACGGAGATGTGCCTGGACCACAACCAGCTGATCCACATCCCTCTTGGAATCAGTGAAATGACCAACTTACATTTTCTTCGGCTAGACAGCAACAGGATCAGGTAGAGAACCAACTTCCACAGAGGTTTTATTCACCATATGTACCGACACACGCGTTCCCTCTGTAATCCACCAAGATCAGCAGTAAATTTCCTTCAACACAGCAGTCTGACTTACTCATCACCTCCAGCTAGACAACATTAAAAGGTTGCCTTGACAACCAGAAACAAAATAAGCCGATTCCAGTTTCCACCTTAGTGTCTCACCTCATCACCCAGAGAAGCTGAGGAAAATTCGAAAGCTCAGAGTAAAGGGAAAAAAAAAAAAAAAAAAAAACGACACGGAGGCAGATTTTTCTTCCAAACTAAAATATTTAACCTCTTCTTTTTTTCATGTGGATACAATTACTAAACTCTTCCACATGCCAGTTGTGAGATCTTTATCCTCAGTGCTCCAACATCAACAACCTCCACAGTAGCTACAGTGTTGTTCCAGTGAGGAGGAGTTAGAGCTCCTGCAACATGCAGGGACGGAATTAAATTCACTGAGTCCAGCTTTCGTTACAGCACTGAGTTTACTAGACCGTCCCGAGTGAGACATTAAGATTAGTAGAGCAGTTCTGAAGCCCCAAGTGAAGCATAGAAAACGGCTGTGTGTGTTTAGATGTTTCCAGCAGTTTTAAATGGAGTGATAACTTCCTCCTTCTGCTACTGTAGACGGCTTTCAACCCGAAGTGAAAGGTACTTTGGATAAAGAATCAATGGTGCAAATCTGTCAAACTCTGGATATTCTTTGATCTATTCACCCCGTCCTGTGCCATGCATTCAGAGCAAAGTATCAGGTTCTGCAGCAAAGCTCTGTTCATTTCATTTTGCTGTGTATCATGATCTTGAGGGTTTTTTTTTTTATTTATTGGCAACGTTGCACAGAGTAGAGAATCTTTAATATTTGGAGAAGGGACTAAGGGTTGCTCTCTGATGGTGTTTCACTTAGAAAAACCAGTAAGTTCTTTAAAAAAACGCAGAAATTAAAAGAATACAAGCAAAAGACCTTAAAATAAAAGCAGATCTTGAAATGTCTCATCAATAAATGTTGTAATTAACAAGCTTTTTCTTTTTGCAGCTAATAAAGGCAGGTTTTTTTTTTTATATACAAAGTTATGATAGACGTACAAAACCTTCTTTATGTGTTGGTGTTCTAAGAGAATGCCATTTAATTTCGAGATAATCAAAAAACAGAAATTATTATTTTTTGATGAAAAACTTTAAAAAGAAGAAATTAAAGGACAAAATATAGGGGAAAAAAATATTAATGTTTGAAACATTTCCTGGAAAATCAGAAGAAGAAAAAAATCATCGCAAAATAAACAGACTGCAGACGGAGCAGCAGGAGGCGGGAATTGTGGAATAGTAAAGGAATCCCAGATGTGAAGAAAATCCTCAGAATTAAAAACTCTCACGTAAATTAATAATAATAATAAAAAAATGTAAAAAAAAAGTTGTAAGTTGGGTCTAATTGAGCTTTATTTTGGACATTCCAGAAGCATTCCTGAGGGAAGCATCTGCGACCTGGACAACCACGAGGAAACTAATCTGGTGGCATTAAGGATGGACAACAACTACATCGATCCCAACAAGGTGTCACCAGCAGCCTTCTCATGTTTACGTTCTGCTTCCAGTGCGGTTCTGAAACCTCAGAAACCCATGTGAGCAGAAGATCCTCAGAACCAGAGACTAACAGACATTTGTTGGAAAGATTCTGGTTTTGAATCAATGAACTAAGAACGTTCCCTCAGATCTGTGATGTTCAGGAACATGGTTGGAGAATCTTTTCCGATCTGTCTGGACTTCATGTTGTAAGATTTTGGGCTGCTCTGCCCCTACATGACACTTGGGGTCTGGTAAGTTGTTCTGCTGGGTCACATGGACCACCTTTGGCTGTTAGACTATGACTGAGAACTTCCAGGCTTCACAAACCAAACACATCTGTCTCCTTAGGTAAAATGTTAAACTCTGTAAAGTGGAAAGAACTCCTTCCCTGGAGACTGTAAAATAGTAATAAAGAAATGGAAAGAATTTCTCTGCAGTGGGACCAGAACACATTATTTCCTAACGACCTCAGCAGCTTCATGTTCTGAGCTCTTTCTTCCAGGAGTTTCTTCTATAAAAGCGAAAACAAGGTGAGGGGGGTGGGAAGTGTTCCTTAGACTCTATGAATTACTGAATCTAAATATGTTTAAGGTGCAGGTCAAAACGTGTTCAGCAGGAGAGTTAATGGCTTCAGCAGACGAGGTAACAGTAACTGTCAGGACATGTCAGCTCAGGTTGGTTTCTCCTCAGTGAATAAGGTAGAGACGGGACAGGGAGTTCCTCTGGGGGGCTTAAAAGAGATTTAAAACTAATATACAGTCATGGGAGAAGGTTTCAGTGATTGGCTCACTAAAAGCAGGGGTTTTCTTTGCCTCCATGGCAAATAATAAGCATTAACCAATGCCAGGAGGAAAAGACATCAGCAATGAATTTAGAGAAGCAACTGTTGATTCCCGAAAACCAGGAAAGGGTCATAAGGTCATCTCCAAATAAGATAAAGTCCATTATCCTACACAGAAAAGAATTATAACATTTAAATATTATATCATTTAAACATTATAACATCTTAGCCATTTTTCTCAGGAATTGAGATCCGAGAAGATCCAGCCCAAGGTTAGAGCATGGAGATCAGAAATGTCCAGAAAGGAAGGAGCTTCAACGCAGACTCTACAGGTCAAAGTTAACAGTTAAAGGTCATGACCTTGAAACAGTCTGCCTTATCTCAGCTTACTCTTGATGATACTCAAAAGAATCTCGTAGGTTCTACAGGCAGATAAAAAGGGGTCCACAGTCTGCTAAAGGAGGTTCTACAGGCTGCTAAAGACGGTTCTAGAGTCTGTTAAAGTAGGTTCCATAGTCGGCTAAAGGAGGTTCTAGATTTTGCTAAAGGAGGTTCTATAGTCGGCTAAAGGAGGTTCTACAGTCTGCTAAAGGAGGTTCTACAGTCGGCTAAAGGAGGTTCAACAGTCGGCTAAAGGAGGTTCAACAGTCGGCTAAAGGAGGTTCTACAGTCTGCTAAAGGAGGTTCTACAGTCGGCTAAAGGAGGTTCAACAGTCGGCTAAAGGAGGTTCTATAGTCGGCTAAAGGAGGTTCTAGATTCTGCTAAAGGAGGTTCTACAGGCTGCTAAAGGAGTTTCTACAGTCGCCTAAAGGAGGTTCTAGAGTCTGCTAAAGCAGGTTCTACAGTCTGCTAAAGGAGGTTCTAGAGTCTGCTAAAGGAGGTTCTATAGTTGCCTAAAGGAGGTTCTAGAGTCTGCTAAAGCAGGTTCTACAGTCTGCTAAAGGAGGTTCTAGAGTCTGCTAAAGGAGGTTCTACAGTCTGCTAAAGGAGGTTCTAGAGTCTGCTAAAGGAGGTTCTACAGGCTGCTAAAGGAGTTTCTACAGTCGCCTAAAGGAGGTTCTAGAGTCTGCTAAAGCAGGTTCTACAGTCTGCTAAAGGAGGTTCTAGAGTCTGCTAAAGGAGGTTCTATAGTCGGCTAAAGGAGGTTCTACAGTCTGCTAAAGGAGGTTCTACAGTCGGCTAAAGGAGGTTCAACAGTCGGCTAAAGGAGGTTCAACAGTCGGCTAAAGGAGGTTCTACAGTCTGCTAAAGGAGGTTCTACAGTCGGCTAAAGGAGGTTCAACAGTCGGCTAAAGGAGGTTCTATAGTCGGCTAAAGGAGGTTCTATAGTCGGCTAAAGCAGGTTCTACAGTCTGCTAAAGGAGGTTCTACAGTCGGCTAAAGGAGTTTCTACAGTCGCCTAAAGGAGGTTCTAGAGTCTGCTAAAGCAGGTTCTACAGTCTGCTAAAGGAGGTTCTAGAGTCTGCTAAAGGAGGTTCTATAGTTGCCTAAAGGAGGTTCTAGAGTCTGCTAAAGCAGGTTCTACAGTCTGCTAAAGGAGGTTCTACAGTCTGCTAAAGGAGGTTCTACAGTCTGCTAAAGGAGGTTCGACAGGCTGCTAAAGACGGTTTTAAGGGTTACTAAACGAGTTTTTAAAGGTAGCTGAAAGAGTTTCTAGAGGCCAGTGAAGGTGATACTAGATGTTCATAGAAAAGTTTCCTTCTAGATCCAGGTTGTACCTTCTCTGACTGGTGGATGGAACATCTTAGACCAGTTTAAACTGGCCTGTTGTTCTTCTAGCGGATCTTAGTACACACTTTTGAACTGAGTGATTAAAGCAGAACCAGGTCCAGCAAGAGCAGATTCCCTGATCTCCAGCACTACCTGGACATCCAGGAGATCCGAGCAGATCATTCATTTACAGATTCCTGCTTTGAGATGATCATCTCAGGCCTGGGAGACAACATGGAGCCAGGATGACAGATCCTGACTGAGTCAGGAGAAGCTGTGGTTCTGTAGCTGCATGCCACACACATTCAGTAGAGGCTGAGAAGGCCAACCTAATCATAACATTTTCCTCTGCAATCCTGAGGTCTGGGAACATCTCCTGCAGTAGCAGGCATCTGACAGGACGACTACGAATGTGATAAACAAACCCATGCTTCTGGAAACTAAACCTGGATACCTTCAGTAGCCACTGCAGAGAAAATACATCCACAGGTAGGGGAGTGATAGAAACAAGAATCTGGAATGTGAGGTAGGCCTTAGACAATATGACTGTCATCATCACGGCATGTTTCAGCTGGAAAACTTTTCTCAAATGAGCCGAAGCAACGAGATTAAAGCTTTTCCTAAGGAAAAAAACTCAGCTGGGCTGCCAACGAAACCAGCTGCTGCACTCATTAGATTCAAATATCAAAGCCCTGAAGAAACCCAACAGTAATCACTTTTATGACCTCATTGACGGTGTGCAGGATAAAGAGCATGCAACAAGAAGAACTGAGCATCAAGCAGCTGTTGTTTGGTCAGATAGGAACAATTAAAAACTGGATACATTTGGAACAATTTCTATGTAAAAAAAAAAACAACAATTCCTCCTTCGTAGATTTATTATATTTAGTAACTGTATACCTAACTGCTCTGTATAATTATTTAACGGGTTAATATAATAACCCTTCAAGTATTTGTTATTTTATCTATAAACTATGCATTAGCCATCTATTTGGGATAGCCATATTGTAAACTGGAACCTTTTAAAGTAAATAATCAATACAAGCAGTTAGATCTGGACCAGGCTGCTTCTGGAAAATAAAACTAACAAAAAGAGGAATCAAACCAGTTAGGCCCCAAAGGATTTAAGTGCTGCATTTACCTGAAATTTCTCAACTGCATTTAATCAAGACAAGCTACACAGTCATGGCGTGTCTAAATGCAAGCTTTTGTAAAGTTAAGATGAAATTGAAAATTTTAAACTACTTATGCAACTCTTACTAGGGGTGTGGGAAAAAATCGATTTGATCATATATTGTGATTTTCGGCTGCTGATATAATATCGATGTCTCAGTTCCTGGTATCAATTCAAACATTTTTACCTAAACATTGAGGGAAAATGGACTTCCTCTGCACCACCACTCTGGTAGATGCTGTGAAGCCCTTTCGCTATGCGGTGCAGCGCTATATCTGTAGTTGAGTCAGTCACAGTGGAAGATGTGGACTAACTCAAACTAGAAACAGCATGGATTCTGATGAACATGGATAGCACCTGCTTTTTTATGTATCCAGGGCTCAATATTAACCATCGCCCGATCTCCCGGTGCAAGTAGTTTTTATTGTCGGGAGAGTACAAATTTCATTGGATTTGCCCGCCGGGCAAGTGCAATGATCGCAAAAAAAAATTATTTGTCACTCAAAATTACTTTAAAATCACCGACATTCGAAACTAATCCTGAGTCAGTTAAAAGTCAGAGAATTCTGAAATGATGTAAGACTGTGGAAACCCTGTATAAAATAACTATATATAATTATTCTCTAGAAAAGTCACATTATATTAATAGTATTATCTTGTATAAACAAACTGTGACTTCAAAATAAAAGTTATTCATTTGTGACATTGACTTCTGTCTTGTGGTTTATCTTAAGTTTCAAACCTGACAGGGTTTTTTTTTTATTTTTAACATTACAATTTATATTTTTCCAAGCACACAACAGTTTAAAGCAAAGTTTAGTTTGAAAAAAATTTGCAGGAATGATTGAAAAGCATGTTAACACGGTAATGTAGGCTTGAGTTCATTATCTGACACATGCATATACACACCAGGAACCTGGAAACTTTAAAAATACTGAATTCCAAAAAACGTTTAAAAAACAAACATGTTTCATTGATATATATATACAAAAATGAATATTAGGAACTATATTCATCAAACATTATACTGGGCAAGTAAAAATTGTTTCTGGGCAAATGAAATGTGAAAGTCACTTGCCGTTGGGCAAGTGGTAAAAATCCTTAACGTCAACCCCTGGTATCCATTTCATTTTGCTAGCTGGGTAAAATCTCGCAATATATAGTGATATTTCTATATTGTGGTGATATCGTATTGTGACCCAAGTATTGTAAGATGTATCGTATCGCAATGCACATGCCAATGCTCACCCCTAACTGTTACAATGTCTGATTTCTTTCCAGTACAGGTTTATATCCAGTTTAATGGCGAAATGGATGCAGAATGGATTTTATGCGGTTTGTTAATAAGTATAAACACTAAACAAAATGCTTCAGTCATCACCTAAATAGTGCCCATTGGGACACCCTGCGCTGTAGAGCAGCGTAATTTTCCAGCTGTACTCAGAAGGATAGAAAAGTGAAGGGCATTACAAAAAAAAAAATTCTAACATGATGGAAAAAAGACAATTAACTAGAAATTAGCATGATAGGCTTAATTCTTTTCAGGAAGCTTTCTCATTTGAATTGAGAAAGCTTCCTGGAGAGGTAGTGAAACGTCTTCAAATCTTGGAAACCAAGTCCAGTGGATATTTTTTTGAATTTTTTACGGAATTGTATATTCTTATATTTATGTCACCTTTATGTTCATTTGTCTCTATGTAAAACTTCATCACCAAAACAAGCTCCTCCTATGTTAAAACACTATGATGCGATACAGCTTT